ATGAGATTTTTTCCCATGGCTAAGACGAGACGAGGATAAGGTCAATAAATGATAACTGTGACTATATCAACATGCAATATCGTTGACGATAAAAGACGAGACTAAAATGAATTTTAAAGAATAAAAACTATACCAAAATTTCTTTTTATTTTCGTCGAAAAAAAAGGAGACAAAATATTATTGCGGACTGCTGTACATGCCTCTACTGCACGAGCTTTAATGTGTGCGGTTGCCAGATATCAAGAGTTGTTCTCTGTTAAAAGGATGCATTTTCTGCCGGGTGTTTTGCAATCTGGCAACCATGCGCACGCGCTCGCTCTTCATTGCGGAAATGTTTAGCGATCTCCATGTGAGATGTTCAGCTTAAATGAAAGTATCATTAAGTCTGTTTGTGTTCTGTCATTTTGATGAATGTGTTTGCTGAATAAATGCACTTACTCAACCACTGTTGTTTTAATAGAGTAACATTACTGCAGTTTGGAATTATTGGAATTACTTTTAGGAATTTTACTGTTCAAATATTTTTTGTTTGTTTTTGCCAGTTTTCATAATGCAGACAGAGAGAGTGCATATCTAAGTCTTTGATATTCATTTAAATATTAAATAGCCTGTAATAAATCAGTACACTAGATGAGGTCAAATAAAGTCCACATTCTATTGATTTGTGCTTATTGGTGAAAAGTGCAATACCTGAAATGTGAAAATAAATTTCTCAAATTTCTCAAATATATATATATCAGTTTAACTGCTATACAGCATGATAAAAATGTGAAGAAAAGTTTTCATTGACTAAAACTAGACTAAACAAAAACAGGACAAGCTTGACTAAATATGATAACAACTAAAAAGTACATTGACACCAGGACTTCATTATTTAAAGTGACAGACAACAAAACGGTATTGTTACTGTTATTGCTATCTTTAGTTATCATTCTTGCTATAGTTGTTGTTATAGTTATAGTTTTTGTTAATGTTATTGTTATTGTTATAGTTATCATAATAGCTATCATTATTGTTAAAGTTATGGTTATAGTTATAGCTATCGTCATCATTATCACTGCAGTTATATATTATAAATGCAGTTATATATTATAGTTATCATTATCGTTAAAGTTATGGTTATAGTCATGGTTATAGTTATCGTTATCACTATTGTTGCAATTATAGTATCTATTGTTATAGTTACGGTTATAGTTATTGCTGTTGTTAATATTACTGTTATTGTTATCGCTATAGTTATAGTTGTTGTTACCATTATTGTTGCATACAGTTATAGTTATTTGATATTGGTATATTTATCTTTATAGTTATAGGTATTGTTATTGTTATAGTTATAGTTCTCGCTATTGTTATAGTTATGGTTCTAGTTATCGTTATCACTGTTGTTGCAAATGTAGTTATATTTACAGCTATAGTTACCATTATATTTATGGATCTAGTAATCGTTAACACTCGTTATAATTATATTAATATTCATAGCTATAGTTATCGTTACAGTTATGGTTCTTGGTGTGAATGTGAAATGTTTGAATGCAGTAGCTCACGTGTGTTGCTGGGCTGAGAGTCCATGGGAATCATCATCTTGGTGCGCGTGGCCCTGCGGGCGGCTAACGATCGCTCTAACGTGGAAATGCTGCTGGAAGATTCATCTCCATCTGCACCTGAAGAAGAGAACCACATGACCTTCAGCTGCTGATGCACACACACACACACTCACACACACGGTCGAATCGACGAACGCCTCCGGAGCCCACGGCCTCACCTGAGTGGCTGCTCTTGCTGCCCATCTGGCTCTCTGATTGGCTGTGGCTGACCGGCGCCATCTCTTGGCAGCTATGGGTGGGCGACTCGCGGCCCGAGGGGGCGGAGCTCGAGGGCTTCTCCATGTTCTTCAGCTCCATCTCCTCATGATGGATCCAGAGGTCAGGAGGTCGCAGGTCTTTCTGGCTGCCCTTCCGCTTCCCCGCGCTGTGTGTCGCACGCTTCCTACAGGAACACAGAGAGACAGAGTAGGACGAAGTTTATTATATTATATATTATATTACCGTATTGGTTCAGATGTATTTCCAAGAAAAAAACATAGTCTTATATTCGGGTCAATACGGTATATTATATTATATTAATGTTTTGTCAATGTAAATCAAGTGGATATTATATTTGAATCCATATCAGTGTGACTCTAGTCGGATCATGTGGTGTGTGTGTGTGTGTGAGTCTGTGTGTGTGTGTGTGTGAGTGTTTCAGTTTGGTCCCCTCTGTTCATCAGCACTTCAGATAAATGAGATATTTTGATCAAAATCAGTCCTGCTTCACCCACATCTTGTTCAGTCACTTAAAGGTACACTTCACCCAAAAATGAAACATCTGTTATCATTTATTCATCCTCATGTCATTCCAAACCTGTACGAGTTTCTTTCTTCAAAAGAAGATATTCTGAAGAATGTTGGAAACCAATCAGTTGACGGCAGCCATTGACTTCTATAATCTGGGAAAAAATACTGTGTAAGTCAATGGCTACCGTCAACTGTTTGGGTACCAATATTTAAAAATATATCTTATTTTGTGTTCAGCAGCTTAAAGAAACTCGTACAGGTTGAGGGCGAGTAAATGATGACACGGTTTTCATTTTTGGGTGAACTATAACTTTAAAACACAAGCCATTGACGCCAGTGGATGATAATGATCTCGAGTAAGTCAATGGCTACCGTCAACTGTTTGGGTACCAATATTTAAAAAATATATCTTATTTTGTGTTCAGCAGCTTAAAGAAACTCGTACAGGTTGAGGGCGAGTAAATGATGACACGGTTTTCATTTTTGGGTGAACTATAACTTTAAAACACAAGCCATTGACGCCAGTGGATGATAAGTGCTGATCTCGAGATGTATGAATTAATCACGCTTATAGATGATCTCTAATCATCTTGCTGCTTGGCAACTATAATCAGTCCACAGGCGACTGAGCTTTAGAACCCAAACAGAATTATTATGAGTTTACTGTGATTATGACTGTTAAAAGGGTAATTGTTTCACTGTTTATTTTACGCTTTACTGCATACTTAAATTAATATTTTACACCGCCTTGGTCACACAAACACATGCCTTCATGTCTAATACTGTACTACAACCGCAATTTCAGAAAAGTTGGGACGTTTTGCAAAATGCCATAAAATCAAGAATATGTGATTTGTTCATTCCTATCCTTTATTTAATTGACAAAATTACAAAGAACAGATTTCCACTGATTTCACAGGCCAACTTAATTGTATTTTGATGGCTGCAACACACACCAAAACATTGGGACAGAGGCATGTTTACCACTGTGTCACATCAACTTACCTTTTCATTACACATTTTAATCTTCTGGGAATTAAGGATGCTAATTTTTTAAGTTTTGCAAGCAAAATTTCCCCCCAATCTCTGTGCCAACTTTGTTGGAGTGTGTGGCAGCCATCAAAATATTTTTTTTATATATATATTTACAAAATATATTTAAGTTGGTCGGTGAAACACTGGAAATCTTTTCTTTGTACTTCTGTCAGTGAAATAAAAGATAAAAGATATAATCAGATATTCTTGATTTTATTGCATTTTACAAAATGTCCCAACTTTTCTGGAATCGGGGTTGTATATTTATGTCTTTTTAAACACATTTGTTTATTTATTTATTTTTAAAAATATGCCTGTTTGTGTCTTTACCTATTCTATATGTTTACACAATCGAAAGATTGGGGTGAGTTTTTGTAAGAAGTCTCTTCTGCTCTCCAAGGCTGCATTTATTTGATACAGTAAAAATTGTGAAATATTATTAGAATCTAAAACAGCTGTTTTCTATGTGAATCTCTGTTAAACTGTAATTTATTTCTGTGATGCGCAGCTGTATTTTCAGCATCATTACTCCAGTCTTCAGTGTCACGTGATCTTCAGAAATCATTCTAATATGCTGATTTGCTGCTTAAGAAACATTTCTGATTATTATCAATGTTGAAAACAGTTGTGCTGCACAATATTTTTGTGGAAACTGTGATACATTTTATTTTTCAGGATTCACAGATGAATAGAAAGTTCAAAAGAACAGCGTTTATTATTTTGTAACATTCTAAATGTCTTTACTGTCACTTCTGATCAATTTAATGCGTACTTGATGAATAAAAGTATTGATTTCTTTCAAAAACACTCTCTGCCCGGTAGTTTATTTCTGAGTTAAACAGCACATAAAATGAGCAGAAGATTCAGAGCACAGACTAAATTATAGATAAAGATGAAAGTAATTTGGAGGAAGTTACTGATGAAAGATTCTAAAGACAAACATAATTTCTTCAGAATATTGTCACTGATGAATCATTCACATTCAGTGTTGACCTTGATTTCATGTTGCAAATAAAGCAAATAGCATTGAATATGACTTGTGTTCAGCTCTTTGACACTCAGCAGCATTTCCACGACGAACACAAGACTGACAGTGTGTTTTGGTGTTTCAAAGCGAATGTCTTTCTGTCAGACGTTTACAGTATAAGCTCATATATACTCTCACCGTTCAGGCTGCTCATGTCAACGCATTTACTAACCATTTCAAGGAAGTGTTTGGCTATGCTACAGGAGAGCTTTTCAGTGTCCGACCAGCTACTGCGGCTGTGCCAAGGCGCCACTCCCATTAACGATTATACCCTGCAATTTCGAACGCTGGCGGCGTCCAGCGGATGGAACGAGGCAGCGCTGCTCAGTGCTTATCGACAGGGATTGGATCCCCGAATCCGCATTCAGATGGCGATTTATGATGACAATGTTGGATTGGAAAACTTCATGTCAAGAGCCAATCGTGTCGCCCAGCGCTTATCAGCCTGCCACACTCCAGCAGCCGCCCACCAGTCTGCAGCACCCGCAGCCAGTTCCCCAGTACCAGAGCCCATGCAGGTGGACTCCACAAGGCTCTCTCCCTCTGAACGTGCTCGCCGCCTCGCGGCAGGACTCTGCCTCTCCTGCGCGGTCATGGACCATTACATCGGAACCTGCCCTGTCCGACCCCCACGTCCAGCGGTGAGTACCCTTCAATTTGAACCTGAAATCTCCAAACTTTCCATGTTTTCAGTGCAACTCCTCACTCCAGTTAATTCCATTACAGTCCCTGCCCTCGTCGACTCGGGCTCCTCGGGCAACTTCATCTCGCAGGACCTACTAAAACGTCTTCACTTGCCCTGCACACACCAAACCTGGGAGCTCAGAGTCGAAACCATCTAGGGAAAACCGCTAGGGCATGGGCGGGTTCAATTCAGAGCTCCTCCGCTGAGGCTCAAGATCGGCAACCTGCATGAGAAAGAGATCATCTTTCTGGTACTGGAGGGACCCACGGTGGATATCGTCCTGGGACGCCCCTGGCACATTCT